CATTTACTCATATTATGATTTCTGAACCAGTGTTTTTCAAAAGAAATATGTCAATATTTGTCTTTAACTTTATTAAACAAATACATCCCGCTTTTTTTACCGTTAATCTAATCTTCTCTTTCCTTATAAGCAAAACAAATAAAATATTAGTGATGTTTACATAATGGACTAACTTTTCAAATGGATCGAAACTAACCTTCGCGTACTTTATTATTCACTAATAATTTGGCTTAGTCACTGTTTATTAGGTATTATAAAGGAATTATGGGCTTAGTTGTTAACCCTAATTTATTTATTTGGTATAAATGATTTTGGTACTTTACAAGTTATCATTGATCTACTGCAAATATTTACGAACTATAATACTCGTACAAATCAACAAATGTAAGCTATTGGTTTATTAATTGTATATTTACCAATTCACCACTCGTTAAAATTTATTATAATTCATAAAAATTCATCATTTAAGATTTATGATATAATTTTATAACAAGAAATAAAAATTAAATTTAGTGCTTTTAAAGCTCACATCACAGTTGATTACAGAATTAAATTAACTGAAATTAAAAAAATATTAATATCGTAATTTTTATTTTAGCTTACTCTGGCCTAGTTTAATAATAATGATCATTGGAAGTGGAGAATCTAGAGAGTGTGGAATTTAATTTGTAATTATGAGTTGTTGAATGTTGCTAGGAATAATATCATGTGGTTTACTAACGTTTGAAAAATACTCTGCAATTATATTTGCTGTATTTATGCTAATAATAGCCTATGTTATTTCGTTATTTTAGAGTAGGGGAGGATTGTTATGTTGAATTAGTTTATTGTAACATTCCACAAATATGATCGCAAGATTGATAATTTTAATAAATAAGAATTATAACATTCACATGTATAGTTTTCATAAATTTTGAAAAAAGTTTGAAAAAGATGAACATTTTTAACAATATATTATTTTTCTTGTAATATTTGCTATTTATTACTCCTTTTATTAAATAGATAATTTAGAGGAACTTAGAAAATAATTACAATCTGAAACAGATTTCTATTAGTTTATATTATTAAGAGATGAGAAGTTAGGTTAGAACCACGACATATTTCATAAAAAATTGACCCTATGTTTCTCAAAAATACCTATTTCTTTAAAAGAAACATACAATATGTATTTATGTTTTTTACAGATTATTATTCAACTATAGTTTACGTGATATCTTTAAAAATATGAAAAATATTAATAATTTTTCATTTTAGAAATTAATTGTTTCTTATTATTTTCTAAAAAATAATTGGTCTTATCCCCTTTTACCTCCTTAAAATTTTATTAATTCGAGTTTTTAAATGAAATCATAGTAATTTATCACTTAACAAATAATAAAATGATCTTCTAAGAAAATGACCAATTGTAACAACTTCTGAACCAGTATTTAAAGTTTTATACCAGGCTGTTAATAGTATAATTATATATAAATGACTTGAAATAAAAATCAACGAATCAGTAGGTAACTTCCAAAAAATACCAATTCAAAATTTATGAAAAATCGGTCAATTTCTTACTAGGATCATTTACTTATTTTTAAATTAATTAAGCATTATTTTTCATTAGTAGTAAAGTTTACTACAATCGGTTTTTTTTTTTAGTAAGAATGTGTTGCTGTGTGTGATTGATTTTGAAATATTGAATTCGTCACAATTCCGCTCAAATCAAATTACCGCTTTATACGCCTCTTAATATTTTTTAACAAGTGAACATTTATTATAATTTATATTTTAAAATAAATCTTTAACTAATTATTAAATCGTGATTTATATCACATTAAACATCTAAGTTACTGTAATATTATTAATTATAATCGATTTTTAAATAATACTACGTTTTTTATGTTTTATATCTTATAAAATTTGCATCAAAATTAAGGGACAAAATATAGATATTCCTAAATTTTCAAATTTTTATTATCTTTTTCCAACTATGGAGTAAGATGATAATGCTAGTTAAATTGTGTAACCAAAGCTATTGTAAAAGAAAATAATGTTTTAAACACATTCTTATAATATTATTGACTTATTTATATTTATTATATATATATATTTACGGGACAAGCTCAAGATATAAAATATATAGTTATGTTTATAATATTTCCATAATATTAAATGTATACAAAAAGAAAATGAATGGAGTAGCTTAATAAGATGAACCACGGGAGAATTAGAAAGAAGAGAATTGGAGCAATAAGAAATAATGAGAGGGACAATAGAACGTAGAGGGATCCTAAAACATAAATGGGAAAGCAACTCAGGAGATCAACATTACCACTTAAGAGAAAGAAGAGAACATTAATATTAGTCTCATGTCTCCAATCAGATAGAGAATTAATATCAAGTTTTTGGATGACTGTAGATTAGTCATGTGGAAGGCAAGGAATATTAAACTCGTAAGAACACAGGCCAAAAACTCTCTCTGAACTCTTTCGACTTTCGCTTTTGTATTAGGTCTAGTTTGGTTGAGTTGGGTTTCCATGGGATCTCAGAGTATAGAGCTGTACTCAAGGATAGGGCGAACGAGAGAACAATTGAGTCTAGAAAATAAGTTTAAAATTTTTGGAAGTATGGTTTAAATCAATCAATAAATCCAAGAAGTTTAAGCGTTTTACAGCATTTTTCTTGTATATGTGCAGTATGAGAAATATTTCTAGTAAGAATGAAACCAAAATCACAAATTGGTACCGGATTGATCAATAGGGATATCATTTATACAATAAATAAAAGTTATAGGTAAGCGCAGAGTATATAAGGACATTGATAAATACTCGATTATATTTAATGAGAGTTTTAAAGGTTTGCCCTAAATTATAAGACAACATAGGTCATCTTGGTGTAATAGACAGATGGAAGTTGTTTTGATGTTTAATAGCGTTAATAAAAACATATTATAACATTATTTTAAAAATAATTTTATCAGGGATAGTGTACCACGAGCGGATTTTTTGTTGGTAAGAATGTGTTGTTATGTATGATTGATTTTGAAATATAAATTTTTTGTTATACTCTTTTGGTCAACTCGCCATTTTTAAATTTTATAGTTTTTTAATAAGTGAACATTGAATATTTAATATAAATAAAATTTCAAAATAAGTCTAATAACTAATTATTATTAATTATTAAATCGTGATTTATACCTTTTTAGACATTTAAGTTTTTATAATACTATTAGTTACTATCACAATTATTAAATAGCATTACGTTTTTTATGTTTTATATATAAACTTATACTTGAATCTATATTTTTCAAATTTTTAACAACCTTTGAAAATTTTCTGAAAATTTTAATAAAAAATTATTTTTAAGCTACAATTATTAGTCGTTGATGTAGTATATCACTTTGGTTGTAGTATTCATAACACTAATTGTTAAATAGCTTATGTAATTAGTTTGACAATTATAAACTATAATATACAAATTCAACAAACAATTTAATTGATTTGTATCAAAGCATTTTATTGTGATAGTAATGTTAATCACAGTCAGATATCATGATCACTATACCACAACCCCACTGTGCTGTTTTTTTTTTATTTTAAAAAGTAATCCTTATATTGAGCAATGGACCATAACGCTATTTAAAGATTTTATGTTCCGTGAAAGCGTAAAAAAAAAATCGTAAAAAACAGAAGAGGTAGATATTTATGAAATTTGATTTTTTATTTTATGTTCTTATTTTGTGATTAACTTTGATAGAAATAATTTTTTTAAATAACTATTTTTTAATGATTATAAACAAAAAAACAAATTTGTTGAGTTATAAACAAATACTGCAGTTTGTTTTTAGCACTGATGATGGTAATATTGTTCTTAAAATATGTATACGCGGTTTGTGGAATTCTGAGTTAAATATTTTTTAGTTTTAAATTAACATTATAAATATTTTTAAAATTTTTAATTACTTGAGAACTAATACATTTTCAATAATTTTTCAAATTTTTTGCCACTGTTAAATATTTGGTGAAAATTTAAATTACAAAAAAAATGTTCATCTTACTTTAAGAAAATTTAATGAATAACCAAGTGCAAAAACGTTTTAATTATCTGCAATAATTAAATGCAATAAACATCTAATGGATTTGGATTGAACCGTTTTTTTTATAGTTATATTAATTGCTATCACTTACCATCTATATTTGTCTCATTTATGTCATTTCGTCACTGCACGGTGACCCACTGTGCTGTTTTTATTTTTAATTTTTATTATCAAAAAATTGATATGAAATATTGTTAGAAATTTTATTGTTAAGATATGCAATTGATTACAATTTATGTATTAATTTTTTAATGGTAGATACAGAGTGTTCTTTTAAATGTTAGACACTCGATTTCTCTTAAAATAATAATTATGTTTAGAAAATTATTTTGCAATTTTTGTTATATATATTTACCGATTTTTAAATTACTAATAATATTATATTGGTTTTTTTAAACTTATAAAGGTGTCAACTTAGTTTAATAAGTAACATACTTATTGAAATTGCTTATAAAATAAAAAATTATCTAATTAATAAAATGACTGATCTAGTACAGCTTTTGGGACTTTATTTTGTAAGTTATTAAAATTTTTATATCTAGACGGAAATTTGAGTTCTGTAGATTTAAAATTTTCTTTGTAAATAAATATCTGCATATTACCAATTTTTATTTTTGAACAAAATTTTTCTGTTTTTTTTCAAAGAATAAAAATTATTGAAAAAGGGTTGAAGTTTTCCATTATTTTAATAATTTATTTAACTGTTTCATTACATCCTGGACAGTTTTATAGAATATTTAATATTCTATAGAACTTTTTTAATTAGTGCAAAAAAAAATGAAGTAAGCTTTTGTAAAAAACTTAATGTATTTTGTACATTATACACTATACATTTTATACATTAATTTTTCCATGTATTTTATCTTTATGGTTTATTAATAATCATTATCATATATTACACGCGTGTAACAAAAGTAGCATCGCAAAGTACATTAATTTTATTGAACTTAAATACACTTGAAACAGCTTAGTTGATCATTAGATAATGATACTGTACCCACAGTTATTCTTCGTTTAATAATAACAAGTTAATTTGCTAATGTCATGTTTTGTACTCGTAATTATGTTTGAGACGATGAACCAAAATGTACGGCCTTACTTTGTGAATTTAAATACGAGCATATAAAAATAATAAAGAAAATATGTTAGATTTTTTCTTAAGTACTTTCTTTGTACTGTAGACGCCTCATTACAAAACGAAAGGACAGATTATTCAATTAAATAATATACAAGAAAAACCAATAAAAAAATATACACATTATGCATGCTTACTTAAATCATATTTGTGGTCACCAAATGTATACGTCTGTCGTTTAATTGACTGTTGTTGGATGTTGAAACGCGGATGAGTGGAGGTGTTATTAAATGTCAGTGGTAGAAAAAGGGGCGATTATCGGTGTACACATGTTGTGTTTATGGTAGCACTTGGCTTTTTTTCAACACACTCCTATAACCTTAAGATACAATTTTTTTTCTCCATTTTTTACCGTCATATTTTTACTTTTATATATACATACATACAAGACAATAATATTGTCCAATGACTATTATTATCCGATTGAGTGATGGAGATGAACAAAAAAAAAAAAACAAATAAACATGATGTTTAAAACGCGAGCTAAACACTTGGTAATGACATAAGGGATAACTGTACAAAGAGAAGGAGGAGGTAAAAATCACGTGTGACTTGCTGATGATAAATGTGTTAACTTAGAGATAGAAAAAGAGAGAGAAAACTATCCCTTTGGCCATCGTCTTGTAAGGATTTTGTTCATGTTCAGTTTTAAGTGGAACGCGAACAACACAACGTTGTTGAAATTCGAAAATGAAAACTGAAAACCAAGACGAACCGTACGTTTGGTTTGACCAATGTCTAGGGACGGAGCCACAGGATTGGATGAAGGATTTCGGTCTAGAATGGTTTGACGAAGAACTTTTGAACGATGGCTGCGATGGAGTTACGAATGTAGAATCACCGCAGCGGAGATTGTCCACGGAGGACGAAAATGACGAGGATTATTATTTTCTTGGATCTCAAAAAGACCGACATGAAGTGCCCTGTGAGATTGAGGAATCTGCTTGGTTCCAACAGCATCAATATTCACCAACCGAAGAAAAAATCATTTCTCCATTGACGTTACCTTCAATGATACCAGGTACGAGGATGTTTTCGGACAATCTTTCAAGAATTAGATATCCCTATAATTTGGATATAACAAACATCAACTCGATAGATCTCAGCCATTCGGTGAGTTATTTTGATATATGTTAAAAAATATGGCTAATAAGAAAACACCGTTACAAATGACGATATAGTAAATATATATATATTGAGTTCCTANCCGTTACAAATGACGATATAGTAAAAATATATATATTGAGTTCCTACTTTTTTTCAAGCGTACCATGAGTTATTTACTTGTATTATTTTACAATGAAATAAAATTGAATAATTAAAACCTAAATAATTGAGTGGCTAATGGACAGTTAGAATTAAAATTGGCTAGGTGAGTTTGTTAAGTGCTGTTGACCGAAGTGTTAGCAAAAACAGAAGTGTATATAGATTTCTCGTTTAGTATTATTATTTTATTGTGTTTCATTGTAGCACTATAGTAACCTAAACTAAACTTTAAGTGATAAACTTCAAACATTCAAACATTTGTCCTAAAAACAAAAAAAAATATTTACATTAAAAGCAAGTTTACAGAATTAACTATATAACTAAATAAAACATATATGAATGTTTTAGTATAGATGATTGGAAATTCATCAACGGAGCATCAAATTTATGGAAATTGAGTAAGAACCATAAACTTTTTCTTTAAATTTTCAGATATATTTTCACTTTTCTTTTTATGAAGTTTTACTTTGTACATAAAAACAAAATCATAATAAATTGTGTCCAAATTTTATGTTCTTAATTAATTTACATGCACTTAAAATAGTATTTGATAAAATAACAGTAATAATTGTAAATACAGAGGTTTATTAAAATTTAATGGATGTATAATTTAGTATGACATGAACAAGAGTAGGACGTGTTGGTACAATTATTCTTACTATTGTTTTTCTTGATAGGGTAATCAAGTATGAAGGGTAAAACTAACATTACTCTCTCTGTTAATCGACAGTGAATTATTTGGGGTGATAAAACTTTATAAACAGCTACCGATTACAGTTTATAAATAATGTTAGTAAAGTGCTGTTAATAATTACAAGAAGCGTTTTGTCACTACAATTAGACAGTAAACGACTATTTTATTTATAGAAGAAAATAATTTGTAATAAAAAGAATTATTTAATTTCGACTTTAATAATCTTCTTTTAAAATCTTAATATATTGCCAACCAATTAACCCTGATGATTCATAATCATTACCATTTTTCGTTATATAAGATTTCTTTTAGGGAGAGGGATTTCATCATAATCATATTCATCATAATCATATTCAAAATTTACTGAATTACACATACACCTAAGCAATGAAATATTAGCGTATTTAAGTATGTTAATATTTATTTAATTTCATTAAGTTTTAAGTTAATGGAGAATCTGCTTTTTGTTATACACAAAATTAACTATCGTTTCGGTAAAAGAATAAAATTAAATAAGTAATTAACAATCGCAGATTTGACTTTCTTTTAACATCTGCGTAATTTTTGTAAAGTCTATAGAAAAGAACACAAAAAGAGTACTGTCCTGTTTAATAAAGAGTTATTGCTTTGAATTTAATTAAAAGTCCTTGAACGGTAACATAAATAGTACGCAGTAAACAGAAGATTCTGTTGAAAGTAAAAAAAACTGTCTATTTAGTAATTGATCTTTTTTTAATTTTTCATTAAATTTTTATATTAAAAGGTGAAATATGACAACTGTTATATTTATTTATTCTTTTCCGAAAAATATAATAAGTAAATTCCGTGGAATCGGGAATATTTAAGTTCAATGTCATTGGCCACTATTAAGTGGAAAATTAAAAAAGTTTTTTTTGTTTAATGACCTATAATAAGAAATCCTTTAATTTTTTTATTTAAACATAACAAAGTGAATTTTATTCAACAGCATTGAGAATTTTAATGAAGAGTAAACAGAAGTTTTTTTTTATTATTTATTAATTATTTTTATTGATAAAAATGGATGAAAACAATTAATTTATGAATGATATATTAAAAAAAATTAAAAATAAGTTCTTAATATTATTTTTATTCTAAGAATAATTAATTATTAATTATAATTATCCACGATATTTGTAAACTTTTTGTGAGATTAAATTTTTTATTTTTAAATTTTAAATAATTAAGTAGCGTATGATAAATGAATCAAATTATAATATACCCTTATATTTTATATTTATATATATATTTATATAAACAACTTTATTTTAAAATAATATGAATAAAATATTTAAATAAACTTCTAAATAGTGTTTACTATATTCAGTAAATTTTTAGGAGGATTCTTGACTAACTATGTTTTAGCATTCTAGGAGGATTTCCAGGTAAAGTTAATGAAGAGAGTTGCTAATTATATAGACATTCAATTTTTTGCTTTCTTTTATAGAAATATAGGCTTTTCAAATGAAACGTAAAAAATAAATGTAATAATAAAAAATAATAATAGTTTGTAAAAAATGATCAGTTAAGAATATCATCATTTTCTGCAATAGTTTTACACCTGAAAAAATAATTATATATGAATTTCAAAGATGAACATTAACCAGTTGAGAAGTTAAAGTTAGGTTAAAATATTTATTTTTTAAACTTATATAGTAGTTAACTATTTTTACAATAAACTTCTTAATTTAACTATTTTAATTTATTGTTGAAATAACTTAGTTTTTTTTAGTTAATTAAGTAATAACCATTAAGTTACATTGAATATTGTTATAAAAATTTTAATTATATGTAATCTAATCTACAGTGTTCAGTAAGTAAGTAAGTAAGGAAATAAGTCAATTTTTACAAACTATAAGAACAATAGAAACCCATTTTCTTATTGAATACACGCCATTCAAAATTAATTCTTATTGAATTTTAAATTCAATTATATTGATTTTTAGAATTTTTATAGAGTAAGTAATTTTTGTTTTTATTAAAAAAATAGATCCCGAGTTAATGTTTTTATTTTTTTCAATGTATTCATTTAATATATAAACTACTCTTAAAAATAACTTATCTGTAGGGCGCAGAATTATATACATTTATTTATTTCGATAAAGCCACTTTGAAAGGTCCCCAGTTTTTCCAAATTTTTGGTAGGATTAGGACAGAGGTAAATCCTTCAATACTATAAACTCGATATAAACATATTACTTATTTCTAAAATCAATTACTAAAAATTTGTACTGACTAAAGGTGTGTTCGAAATAACTTAACAAAATTTATAAATGCAAATAAATCAGCGCTCTGGTTATGAAGAACTCGACCAATTTTTTACTAAATATTTAACATAACATTTTTTTTGACAACCAGCATTTTTTGTTATCCAATATTGGTTATTTCTGTATAAAAACATAATTAAATGAAAGTAATGAAAATTATAGTTTGAAAATATATAATAAAATATTAAATTTAATTGAAAAAGTGATTAAAAATGACAACTAAGGAAACCTATCAAGTCTTTTTAAAAAAAGTTTCAGAAACCAACGTAACATAGTCCGTATTAAATTATATGTACTTAAAGATAATGGTATTAATCTGAAGAAAGTTTACATTGTTAGTTGAATGTTCCGTTTAAATGTCATCTTATTGGTACCGGAAAATAAGTAATTACTTATATAACATTACTTTAAAATAAATGTCTCCCGAGGACACTCTTAAAGCTTTGAAATGTCATAAATGTTTTCTATTTTTTTTTTTTTTATTGAGTAGAGGATAGAACAACATTTGTGAACCATTCGATAATTGAACACTGAAAGATAATATTTATATTTCATGTGTTAATTTTTTATATTTTTTATTAATTATAGTGACATATTTGTTGCTTAAATTTACCTACATTTTAGTTAATAACTAAAAGCAAGTAATAATAGTTCATAAAAAATTCAATTTTTTAGGGACGTTTGGATTCTTTTGGTCATTCCGTCAATTTTCATTCTATGACTAATGATGATAATGATGTATTTGATATATCAATTTTTACGGACTGTAGTGATGATACTTTTTTTATGACTGACAATCAAGTTAGTAACTTTATACCATAATAGTAATCATCGTTATCTAAACAATAGATTTAAAATGTTTTTTTTTATCAAGGTGGTTATGCCCAGAGAAGATTGTAGTGCTATGTTTGATACAACGTTGGAACCTGTTTTTCAAGGTAAGTTTAGGGTATTATTAATAGCATTCCAATAATTACTGTCTGAAAACAAAAATATTTGTTGGGTTATTTTAAAAGAATTATTAAAAAAATTCATCGAAAACATTTTTGTGTTTTTTTTTTTTGAATTACTAGAATTTTTTTTTATTATCTGAGTAAGTGGTTAGGTACACTCTAATATGGTAGCGTAATACAAAATATACAATTTATTATATTTTTTTATCGTATATTCATATTTTGATAATACGAATGTAAAAATACTATAAATACTGAATTAACAAAAAAAATTCATCGAAGATGATAAGTTTTAATTTATAAAGATCAAGTTAAAGTAAAAGTCACACTTTTTGTTTAATTTTTATACTTTGTGTTTTAAATAACATTAGAATCTGAATGTTATCAAAATATTCTATATGACAAATGGCTACATTTTTGCATCCTCTGTAGATACCCAAATTGAGCATAAAATAAAAATTACTTTATTTACGAGAAATAACTTGGTTTTTGTATTGCAACCAAATTTTTTTTATTAAAGCAAGTATAAAAAGTAGATTTATGTTTAATTTTAACCTAAGTTAGTTAACAAAGAAGTTTATTTAAAATAAAAGATTTATTTTATGCAAACAAAAATAGTTAGATCAATATTTGTATAGTTTTTCTATTTATAACTATTAATATCTATTAATATAATGATTTATTATTTTATTTATATATGATTATATAATATATATTATATATATATTATTTATTATTTTATTTATATGATAAAGTCGCTACCTTTTAATTTTTCTAAACTTAAATAAAATATTAAATAATTTCATCATAGTGGACCTATTATTTGGTATACTAGTTTTTTAATTCACCAAAAATTAAATTCTTCGAATTTAATTTTTGTACTTGCTTAAAAGTAGTCGAAATTCCAAGAAAATGATTTTATTAAAAACATATAAGATATGGAATTTCTTTTCTCATCTGTCATAAAACACTTTCGTTATACTCAATGTTTTTCTCTAAATGTTTTATTTTTATTTGTTATTATTTAATGGAAAACTTTCAAAAACACTTAACCGTTACTGATAACAGCAAACTTTGACAATTGTGTTATTATTACAGTTAGTAGTGTTTCAATTCTAACGGGAATTCGAATAAAATATATCAGATGTTGATTGACATTAATAATAATTATATTATGTTAGTTTCAGTGATGACATATCTTTTTAAGCAAAAATTTAAAAAGTATATTAAGCTTACTAAATCCTATTAAAGTTACAAGAGGGCTAAACTTTTCGTTTTTTCAACTTTTAAAGAATTAAAATTTAAATAACCATGTAAATCGTAATTGAAAAATCAATTAATTATTTTCTTCATTTGATGAAAATACATCCCTTGATTGAAAGATTATATGTCTTAAAATACATTTTTTGACTGGAGCAATGGTCTCTTTTTACCTTTAAATACTATTCTGAATACGATTACTTTTGTTCTATCCAAACTAGAATAAATAATATGAAAAAAATATTCTAAAAACTACCATTAAGGATTATTCTTTTTTAGAATATACTTTACATTTACAATAGTTTGTAAAAATAAATTAAATTTTAATATTTTTATGGTAAAATTATTATTTAAAGAAAAATATGAGGGTTAGTATGCTTAATAAACCACTCTATATATATTTCAAAATGAAAACTATATCGTAAAATATATTTGAACTATTTATTGTAGAGATATCATCATAGTGAATCTACTTACAAACATTTTTACTTAAAACTATCATTGATAAATTAAACATTTATTCACTAGAAAAGCAAGTATTTTTTTTACAAAAATTGTAGTTGAGTCATCCGCTACAACAATAATAAAATGTATACATATGCAATCATATTGAAAAAAATTTCTTGAATAATTTGACATTAAAATGCTTTTATGAAAATATGGCAATTATATTTATTTTAAAGCATATAAAAACATGCTAAATGCTCGTTATATTAGTTGATGTAATTATTGAGTAAGGTGTTATTCATGTTATTAAATGGAATGAAGAATTTTTCATAGAAATAAACTCATTGAATAGTGTTAACGTAAACCCTCATAATCCAAAATTTTATTGTCGTTATTAAACTATAAATCTGTAATTTCCCTCCAATATATCTCCTCTTATTGTTATATTGTCGGCGGATTTGGTTGTCCAAGGACATCGATGTGATTCAGTCGCGTCAGTTTATATGGCGACCATGTTTTGGATATTGAAAGTAGTGGGTTTGGTGGGGGTGTGTCAGTGTTCGTGATTTTGAAACTCACTAAAGAGGGAAAAGAGATTTCAGAGTTAGGGGAACCATGTTAAACCCAAGGGAGTCTACAGTGAGATGACTGACGGAGGGTGGGGTAAACATTGGTATTCAATTATTCTGTATTATACAAGGCCAACGACCTACACTGTCGCGTCTGTTACCCCAAATGGATCCCCGTATATTGGGGTCCTTGACCGCCCGTAACCATGCCACTATTATACGAGGGTAAGTTTTTGATTATTTTTGCAGGCGATCCTCCTCTGGAGAGATGCGAAGAAGTAAGAATCTGCGAGTGGGAAGGATGTACTGTTCGGGTGGAGGGTGCAGGTCAAGAACCTCTTGTGCGACATATCGAAAAGCTGCACGTGGACAGTGCACCGCGAGGCGCCTGCGCCCAGTACACGTGTCAGTGGCGAGGGTGTCCCAGGCGTGTGCGCCCGTTCAACGCCCGATACAAACTACTCATACACATGCGCGTCCATTCCGGCGAAAAACCGAACAAATGCACGGTAAGTTATACATATATGTATTTAAAATTGTATAGACATAATCTGTTTGCGAAAGGACAATTCAAGGACGTTGCTGTCCCTCTACTGCTTGTGGATTCCTCTATAATATACATTGTATATATATATAGGATATATACGCCGTTCGCTAAGTTGATGTTATTAGCTTTGTGCATTTCTAAATGCGCAAAAAGCTAACAATACAATGTTACCCTACTAGTTTGTTGCTCTCGTATGAATTATAAACCAACTATAAAGGCCTATTATAATTGTTTCAATTAGTTTATCCTTTATATATCTAACTGACACTTGACCATAAAAACAATATGTGGATTTGTCAGTTAGGTCTGAGACATTGTATATTAACAGTTTACTCAACAAATAATTTATACAAAATGCATAATTATTTAAACACAATTCAAGTAATAAAATTTAAGCTGAAATTGCATTTTACCAAATACTATAAATAAATAAACAGTGGCAAAAATAACTTATAATTTTAAAAATGTATATATAATTCATTTAAGTGCTAGCCTTAACGTTTTTAGAATCCATGTTAAATGTTCATAATATTTATTTGGATCAAAAATGATTGAAACAATATTTCTACTTGATATAAGTAGGTCTATAACTAAAATAATGATGCCAAATCATTTTATTTTTTATTCATCATAAAATAATATAATCTACGGTTAAGAAATGCTCAGTTTAAGAAATATAACGAGAATTTGTAATTTTCACTGTATTTTATAAATAAGTTTTAAACAAATCCCTGGAAAATAATTATAACATTTATTTAGAAGTATTATAATTATTTAAGACATTTTTTACTTGATATATCGGTAGTTTAATAAGTTATTGTAATGGGGGACGTCCGCTGCGCATAGTTTGACCTGCACCAACGTTATTTCTACAAACCAAGCCCTGGTTTAAGTATTGATTATTTATACTGTGCACTTTATGTTTATGATTTCCTAACATTGTCAGTTAAATAACTTAGTGGTTACCAAAGCTCTCCTCTGTATTAAATTGTTATGGAAAAAGGTAAAAGTCGACATTTTAGCGAGTCTTTTTCTACTTCATTGCGATCATTTAATAAAAACTTTATAGCTTTTCAGATAATAAACTTCAATCATAATACATTATGGTTATAAGGGTCACACTGATATCATGAAACGAAATAATTATTATGATATATTCTGTAAATAAAATGTAAACAAGCCTAAAAAAGAACAATGTATAATTATTCAATCATTCTAATTTTATTAATTTCAGTATCTATTTTAATCTCAGAATATTGTTTTGATAATAATTTTTAATGACACTTTTATTAAAATGTGATTTTTATAAATTTAAATAATAAATCATCAATTTTTGATTCGCAGTTTTTTGGATGTTCAAAAGCATTTTCTAGGCTAGAGAACTTGAAAATTCATCAAAGATCACATACTGGGGAAAAACCTTATGCATGCCAATTTGTTGGGTGCGTGAAAGCGTTTAGTAATAGTTCTGATAGAGCTAAACACCAGAGAACTCATTTTGAACAAGTTAGTTTTTTAATAAATAGTTGAATAACTAAATATTTTATATTATAAGACCTTCATATCAAACGATAATTTATTGTTATTAATTAAAAATGATAATACATAAAGTAGTTTAATTTAAATATTGATTAAATAATGGACTTTTTCAATTACTTTCTGCTCAGTATCCTTGTCCATATAATTTTATAAATGATTTGAAACGTTAACAACATTTTATTGATATAAAGTTAATTTTTAGTACAGCATGCAATCCAATTGTGTTTAGGAATAGCATTAAAGCACTAATTAAGCACTTAACTTAAAAATTTTTTTCGTGATTATGAAAATAGAAATTTTTTAAAATACTTATAAGGTGTTTATTTTAATATTAATATTAATTAGATTGAAACTTTATTGTATCTTATATTTATTATTAAAAAAAGAAAACTATATTCTGTTTATATATATTTAAATAAAATAATATAATTTTATTTAATAACATTTGTAATTATAAATTATAAATTATCGCTTGCTACATTTTAACTTTGGTGATATTATAATGATAACTATATGTTGTCTGTCGACAATTTACCAGTATTTACAAGTAAACTAATCAGTATTATAATAAATTATACCCAAATTAATGTTTAATTATGATTTTATTTCCAAAGAAGTATTAAAAACTTTTGGCTGGCAATTTTTTTTTATATAACTTAAATATTGTATTTTTATTTAAAGAGAACATTTTAATTCATGCTTTTTTAAGAAAATAACTATATGAAGTTTATTAATAAATACATAAATACAAAACAATATTTTTTTTAAAAAAATTGAAACGTCTTTGCTTCAAAAATATGATAATTAGGCAAACCGAAAAATGGTATTCATTTTTTTATTTGTTATTTGTTCCTGATAAATTATTGTTGAAATGATGTTACTTGGGGGCGTGGGAGAAAAAACCCTACGTGTTTATGAGCATAACATAATTTCAGCGTCCCTTAAATTTTTGCTTTAGTTACGCATAAATGATTATGGATTGCATAAACAAATCGCCGTCCTACAAAAATATTTTCTGTAAAATAATATTGTTTTTTAATAAGAATATCAGCTATTTTATGTATAAAATGACGTTGAAATGTTTTATTATTTCATTTTTGCTGGAAAAATAATACAACATTTTTCCTACCCTTCTAAATAAAATAATTAGTATCTTAGTAATTATTATTTCGATTAGGCAATTTATTCCTTTAATTAACATATGTTGATAAAAAAAATTTAATTAAAATAAGGATAATATAATAATTAATTTTTAATTGATTGTTAATTTTGGGTGTTTATTACTTAAATGTAAAATTTAATAGATTATTATACTGGATAAAATAATATTGTTTTAAAACCAAAATATGTAGAATGAGAACAAACTATAGAATCCAATTGAATATAAAATTTAATTTCTGTTACTTACAGCATAGATAACCAAAAAAAAGTCTATTTAAGATAAAAATAAATTTATAAAATATTATTTTAGTTCAGATAAAATAACTTTTTAAATTTTTATTTAGTTGTTGTATCTAGATAAGGCTAAACAATGATCATAATCCTCTGACCTATAACCTTTGTGTTAGAGGATTATGATAGACAATTTTAGATCATATGATGCAAATTTTTTTACTTTTATTATTATAATGAGTGTATCATTATAGAAACCTTATGCATGTATGGTATTGGGTTGCAACAAAAGGTATACAGATCCCAGTTCGCTGAGAAAACATGTGAAAAATCATTCATCACAACCGTCAACAGTAAGTTAAAAAACAAAAAACTTTATTAATTTACATAAAAAGTACAGTGAATGATAAACCTGTAGTCTTTTAACTTGTATCGCAAGATGGTTGGTGTGTATTAAAACCACTCTTTGTTTTCCTAGTGAAATTTCAAATATTTTAAATCATAAGATTTGTACTTTTTAAGAGTTTCAAAAAATTATATATGATTATACGGGTGCTGTAAACCAAAATTTGACATAATATTTAACAATAAAACAACATATTATTTTTAATGATTTCAGCTCAAAATACATAATTTCACATTGACTTTAAAACATAAATAATTTTAAATATATTTAATACATATATAACTTTATACATTTAAATTTTACCAAACATTTTTATTTACTATGAAAAAAATTAGTCTAGTACCTGGCTTCAAATTAAGGGTCATCATAATAAATAGTTTATGATAAATATAGTTTCTTTTTTATAAATTTTAATTTCACACTATTTTTTTTAGAGAAAACAGTATATTCGAATTTAAATTATATAGAGTGGTCCCACCGTGATTTAATAATTTTAACATTAGTTTATATAGTCAATTTAATAAATCACGGTGGGACATTTTATATTTAATAATGTATATAAAAGCTGGAAATATTTTTACTACTAATTAATTATAAAAATTCTAATTCTAATGTTTTTATACAGTTTGCTTGCCTTTATACATTGTTACATATTTTTAATTGATCAAATTTATGTTTTAGAAAACTGTTTCGAAATCATATATTCAACCAGCGTTATCATCCAACAATAACAATTCCCAAAGAACAATAAGTATGAATTTTTCTTAAACGAATACTTACACTATTAAAAAGTAATAATACCAATCTTATTAACAAACATTTTTTTAAAGTTATCTCAAATGAAAAACTTTTACAAATAAAACAAGAAAACATCTGGTGATTTGATCAAGTTTAAAATTTCGTGTATTAGCTAATTTGTTGTTTATTGCGTGGTAAAATTATTATTATAAAAAAGAATTCTCATTTATTTTTATTTTTTCAAACTGTGTTAGTTGTAAGTTTCTTTGTGAGAAGAAATTACGTATTTCTATTGTGATTATTTAACCGCGAATCTCACTTATAAATTAAGTATTTTTATCTTTAAATTTTTAATATGTATAAATATTTATTGTTTAAGGAATGTTTTATTGAAATTTGTTTTAGAAAAATTTTATATGTCATTATTTTTATTGTAAATAATTTCATTATATTAACGTTATTTGTTGGCGTTTAAAAAATAAAAAGTTATATCTATGAAAGTAAAATTTTACAATTTATATTAATTAAATTAAAATTTGATGCTAACTATTAGACATTATATCCAATTAAATTACTATTAAAAAAAAGTCCCAATTAATATAAATCCATTTTGAATTAAAAAAATATATATAAACTAATAACAATCTAAAAGTCTCAATAAAATTTATGTTAATGATTTTTAAATTATAAACACCTTTCAATTCAATTTAATTTTTATTTTACTCTACAAGTATTTTCATTATGCAAATATAATTTTTGTTAATAATTGTCTTATAGTTATAAATAATATTTTAATAATCAAAGCAGTTTAATAAGGATAATTTTTCAGAGTAATTTTTTTATTACTAGCCACTTAATATATCTTAATATAATCAATATGTTAAGAAAATTATTTTTAGTAATAATATTGTATATTTCTCAATTTCTCAATTATTACATATTATTTTAATTCATTCATCGTTATAAAGGTGTTAACTTTTTTTTTAACTATAACAAACATATTTAACTAGGTTATAAAAATGAATAAGTAAATTTCTGTTTGATAACAACCTTTGACTCATTATTTTTTAAATTATTACTATTTTAAAACATTTAGTGGAGGTTATGTTATATTAACCATTAAAGCATTAGTGTGTCGCACTTTTTCTCCTCTCACTATACAAATGTATTTTTGAGTTTGCAATAAACTACGACACTTATATTTAAAAATGATAACAACTTCCAAAGTACTAGTTCAAAAATTGTTATCGATCAGTCTAAAAAATCAAAATACTAAAAAAAAAATAATTTTCAAAACATAATTATTCTTTTAAATGATCGCAATAATTTAACAATTGTACCCTTTTCTTTTCTATTTTTTGTATTAACCTAAGAAAATGTAAATTTTAGCAGGCCAAAGAACTAGCATTTAAGATCTATAAATAAATAATAATAGTCAATAACGTTAGAAATCGGATTCGTAAATTTTTTAGATTAACTTGAGTGAAGACATAAATATCACATAATACGTTAAAAGTTAGTATTTATGTACTTTTATTTTAGTACTAATGTGTATATTCGAAATTGATGTTTTCCAATTATAATAAAAATTACGCACTATTTTAAGTATACAAAAGTGAATTAAAGTACTTTTTTTTTTTTTTTTTAATTATCAGAAAATTTATTTACAATCTATACAGTAAGTACATTAAGCATCAAGCAAATTTGATGACAGCTATTATATACATGACAATAAAATTAGCGTTTATAGGAAGACACTCAGCGGTGTCACCATGATAGGAAGTTAAAAAAAAAATTTTTTTTTTAGTTATTGTAGAAGATCTCTAGGCCACCATCTTTTCAATCTCCTTGGAGCATTATCGGGAAGGGAGGCCGAGGATAGTTGTTTTATTAAGGGGTTAAAAAGAGTACTTAAATTTGAAATTAAAGTACTAAAAGAAAAAGGCTTAAATATTGATTAAATTAAGTTTTCATTTTTCGTGCTTATAATTTTAAACAAATATCTATGTTATGAATTTCTGACTCAAAATCAATAAAATTTTGCAACCAATAAAATTACTAGTCTTTTTTTTGCAATTATTTGTACATTATTAATTCTTTGATTAATGAGACTTTTTTGAAATTTATTGCATGAAAGAATTAAAGCGCTGACTCATTAACCTAGCAATTTACAAAGGCCTCATAATTTTTAAAGCCTCTCGACAGAGAGTGATAAGCAAAAAAAAAATTTATTTGATTAAAAGAGTAATTTTTTATTTAAAACTATTTTTATAGCTTTAAGGATACTTTTGACTAAAATTTAAAGAAATTTGTAATATTGAGATTCTGGAAACTCAATATTATATGTAATTAAAGCTAATCGAAAAAAAAAGTTACCTAAATATGTGCTTTTCAAAAAGTATTGTGTTGTATATCAATTTTTAAAATGGAAAAAAAAACATACTGATATAAATTTGTGTATATATTTAATAAATATTATTTATATAAATGTTATATATTAAAATTATTTTCTTCCCAACTTCTATTTATGGCATTTTTTTCGTAATTTAATTTAACAAGCTTGTTGTGGTTATTACAAAACTGTATTATAACTTTTGGCCGTTGAAATATAATTAAAAAATCTTAAAATAACGAATCAATCTATTCATTATTATAAAATAATAAATTCGATATAATAACTTTGTTAATTAAACTAACAAAAACTAAAATATATAATGAATTAATTAATGAAATGAAATATATGATTGATGATTTTTAATTAGTTAATTAAACATAAATGGGTACCTACATGATATTGACATATTATAATTTTAATGTGTTATTTTAAACCAATAGGCTTTTACAATTAGATGTCATAAAACTAATTTTCAACAAATAGAGGCGTTTTTATTATTGAATTAATTATTTTTTTATTAAATAAAAAATAAAAAATTGAGTGTTTTAAATAGAGATGAACTTTTTATGTAATTCTGTAAAAATTCATTGTTACTAAGAAATATTAAATACTAGGTAAAATTTAAATAATACAAACTATATAAATATAATATAAAAAAATATAATTACATCAATGATTTTTTTTACTAATTAATACTACTGTAGTGAACACAAAAATATACAAAGTTTTTTTTTATTAGCCCGACATAAATTACTTCACAGATTTTGTTAGATAAAAGTTTTATTTCCTGGCAAACTTACAAAATAGTATTGTGTAACACTATATGTCAAATAGGAACAATTACTTTTATAAAAATCACACAAAATTATATTAACAAGTGAACATGTTATCATTAAAATAAAAACTATATATAAATGGACAATTTCATGAAATATTTATCTGAATATTGTATGCTGACTGAATATGAAATAAGCTTATGTTAAAAGTGAGCAGCCAAAATGTTGTAATACAGAATGTCCCACCATATTCTAATATCTTTAATAACTTTTGATTCAGTCAATATTTTTCGTTACTTTTTTTAAATAATTATACACCGGGATTATTAAAATTTTATGATAAATAATAGTTTTTTTATTTATTAATAAAAATTTATCCATTTATTAGAACCATAGTAATGTTTGTGAAAATTTGAATTTATTATTTATTGAATTTGATTTTAACCTCACTAGAATTCAAAATTGTTCTAAATGGAAAAACATTTTTTAAATATAAAGAAGGACACTTAAAAGGAGTTTTCAAAACCAATATTTTGGACATTAATTATGTAAATCTTAAAATAAAATAAAAAATGTATAAAAAATTGTGTAAATATATTTTTTTATGGTTCAAATTTATTTTATTATTCATTTAATCAATAAAAAAAGGTTAATTGAACAGCATTTATACATTATAAAATAGTTATTTTAATGGAAAATATATAAATGATGACCATATAACTTTTCACTTAATAAATTAAATTTATTAAAAAAATAATAATAAGTCATACAATTTATTAAATAAAGTTGATAAAGTTAACTGAGTTAATAACAGTAGTAATCCGCAAAAGAATGTCACAATTTTATATTACCAAATACAATTTTGGTTGGATGACTAAGTAATTATTACAAACGGAAAAGTTCGTTTGTAATAGTTACTAAATCGCTGTTTGCATGAGTTTTGTAAAAAAATTTTGTAAAAAAATCGTAAGTAACTGGTCAGTTAGATCATAAAAAAAGAAAAATCAAAAAAATTTGGTGGTTAGATACACTGGATAATTTAAACTTTTTTCTCCAATTACAGAGTGTGTCCATTTTAAACTCATCTATTATGTGGCCGAATTTTGAATTGTAATAAATAAATCCAAAGAGATGTGCTATCTTCTATTTATCGAATTTTTAAATTTAATTACAGGCGCTTATTCAAATTTAGATGAATTTCATGAAAAAAATTACATACTTATTACCAATAATCGCGAAAAAATATTACGTTTTCCTTAAACATTTCTCAATATATATTTCTTTGTCTAATACCATAAAAGAACACATCAAAAATTCACAAACTTATTAATGCTACAAATAATTTACTATAGAACATAATTACGATTTTATTCCAGTGTTTTTTTTAAATTTATTCTACAAAATTGCCATCTTGAAAAATTATATTATACTTCTTGTAATTTTAAAAAAAAATCAATTTTTTTAATAAATAAAAAAAACTTATATTCATAAGAAAATTTCTATAATTTCAATGCATGATAATAATAATAATAATAAAATTTACACAAAATAATGAATAGATCAAAAGTTGAGTTGGAAAAAAGTGAGAGTGTTTTCTTAGAGAATATGTCAGCAGACTCTAAGTACATCAGCATTATAAAATTAATATTAAACAATATAATTGTGGTTAGTAGCTATAATTTATTTATTCTATCAGGAAGAACAAATCGAACACATGTTTTTCGGTAACTTAATGACTAAAATGATAATTATTTTAATTGCGTGTAATCAAACTCTCGCTATGACGCTATTAAGACAGTTAGCGCATATTTAGTTGTATAAGAGTTAATGATACTAAATAATGAAATGTACAAGTATACTTTACCTTACATATGACTCGTCTTACTAAAACACTAAGAACATTTTTTCATCAATGTATAATTGTGTTAACTTCAAAAATTAATAGGTTACTTAGTTTGTTTCATTGAAAATATTTTAAACATATAATAATTAATATAAAAAATTAATTAAAATCTAAGCTTAAGCTAAACAAAAACGGCGTTGTTTCCNTAAACATATAATAATTAATATAAAAAATTCATTAAAATCTAAGCTTAAGCTAAACAAAAACGGCGTTGTTTCCTTTTTCATTTCCTTAATTGTTGATAAATACATATTAA